GACCCAAGAGCCATCAGCGATGATGGGATACACCCTCCCTCGAAGCCCCCCTTTTCACAGGCCCCATACAGCGGTTCATTTCCATGGAGGGATCTGCCCCGTTGGAACATAACCGTTTGAAGACCCAGAAGCATACCAAAACATTGTTCGCGGGATTCCAATGCCACGGATCAATCTGACTGTTGCGTCTTGACGATCCCGGATCGCGCCAGAACGCCATTCTTGGGATTTCAACACCGCGAATCAACGTAACAGTTGCGCCCGCAAAGTCCTGAATCCTTCCACAACATCAGTTATGGTACGTTGACCGTGGGAGTCCGTGAAACTCTGGCAATTTCAAAAGAGGGTGTGCGCGGCGCTCATTCTTGCAAGTCTTAAGACGAATGTGCGCGGCGCTAAGGCGAGAACCACATTTTGAAAAGGAACTGCCCTCAATCCGTGAAATTCTTGCAAATGTTGAAAACGAATTTGCGCGGCGACAGGGCGAAAGCCACATCTTGAAAGCGGGTTTTCCTCAATCCGTGAAGCTTTTGCAACTTGTTAGAACAAACGTGCGCGTCGCTGAGGCGGGAGCCACATTTTGAAAGTCACCCGCCCTCCATCTGTGCACATGTTATCAACTTTTAAGCTTCAGAACCATAAATGGCGAGGAAGTCTCACGCGAAACGCCCGGCCCATCCTAAAAACTGGCCTCGGGTTGCGACGGGGGCAAATTATTTATAAGGAAAAGGAATGGAGGAGGAGGAGGAGGAGGAGAAGGAGGAGGAGGAGGAGGGAAGAGGATGAGGAAGGAGCAGGATGAGGAGCGGGAGCAAGGACGAGGAGAAGGAAATAGGAAGGAAGCGGAGGAGGATGAGGATGATGATGACGATGCTGATGCTGATGCCGATGCTGATGCTGATGCTGATGCTGATGCTGATGATGCTGCTGCTGATGATGATGTTGTTGTTGTTGATGATGATGATGATGATGATGATGATGAGGGGGAGGCGGAGGAGGAGGAATAGGAGGAAGAGGAGTAGGAGGAGGAGGCAGAGGATGAGGAGGGGGGAATGGGAAGGAGGAGGCGGAGGAGGAGTAGGAGGAGGCGGAGGAGGATGATGAGGAGGATCGGGAGGAGGAGGGGGAGGAGGAGGAGGAGGAGGAGGAGGAGGGAGGAGCAGGTCGAGGTGGAGGGGGAGCAAAAAGGAGGAGGATGAGGATGAGGATGAGGATGAGGATGATGATGATGATGATGATGATGATGATGATGATGCTGATGATGATGATGATGATGATGATGATGATGAGGAGGAATATGAGGAGGAGCAGGAAGAGAAGGAGGAGGAGGAGGACGAGGAGGAGGAGGAGGAGGGGGAGGAGGAGGAGGAGGAGGAGGAGGAGGAGGGGAGGAGGAGGCGGAGGAGGAGAAGGAGGAAGAGGAGGAGGAGCAGAGGAGGGAGGAGGAGGAGGAGGAGGAGGAGGAGGAGGAGGAGGAGGAGGAGGAGGAGGAGGAGGAGGAGAACCGAAAAAACACAAGCCAGGACAAGCCCTCAAGAGCTCAACTCAGAAGCGTGAAAAAAACAACGTCCCTGGACCACTTCGGGCCCCAAAACCTCACAGACTGGCTCAGAACTTTGTGGCGTAAGCTACCAGCTCTTGGAAGGATGGCGGGCAGGCGAGGCGAGGGGAGGCTTGAACGAGGGGGGGTCGGAGGAAGGAGGATGTCCTGGCTGGCAGAGGCGACGGAACGGTACCCCTGGGCGTCGCCAGTGGTTCCCCTCCTGCTCGGCGAAATCGTTCCCAAAGGCTCCGCCGACCTTCCTCGAGGTTGCGAAGTCCTTCCTAAGGGCCCCGCCGTCCTTCCACGAGAATGCGAAAGCCTTCCCGCAGACCCAATCGAACCAGACCAGGTACTTGGAACCAACTGCAATGGCCTCTGCACGTGGTGCTCTGCCTTCCCAAAGGCGTCGCATCCTCCATTGATGGTCGCTCGCGCATGTTTCTCCGTCCAACAACGCTCTCCTCGCCGCGTAGCAGCGAGGCGCTGCAGGACGGCCCGCAATGCGGGGAAGTCGGGGTGCCTGCAGGGATGTCGTAGACGTCTCTGCAGGGGCTGCGGGGTGACTGCAGGGAACCCCATGCGGCCCATCCCAAAAGGAGGACGTCGTCCTCCCCGACCCCCCTTTGGCCGCGCATCGGTGCAAGCGGGTGGCAAAATGCCCTCTTTATCCTGCTCCGTGTCTTCTGGCATCTGTGGGTGCGTCGCAGATCGAACTCGTCGAGCGCCAGCTGCAGCGCCCCCTCGTCGTGCGACCTGGGCGCCATGCCCTCTTTGACTTCGCCCCCGAGCTGCCCCGCGCGCGAGAAAGATTTTCGTCGTGTTGGGCCCCCCCGAGCGCGAATGCCATCTTCGCGGAGCCTTCCTTGACGGCGCTCGAGACCTTGAACCCCTTGACCAGCGGCGCCAATTCGCTCATGTCGCTGCAGCTGACGGGGCGTTGCTGGATCTCGGCCCAGGCTTTCGCCTTCTCCACTCCGACCGAGTCTCCAGATTCTGGTACTTTCCGCGCTGCCGCCAGGACTATATGCGCGCGCACGCTGGGCCCAGGGGCTCATCTTGGCAGCCTCGGTGGCGTAGGCCCTGCTGGCCTGGGGCGCGGCCTTCGCCATCAGCATTCGAATGCTGTGCGAGTTGCCCAGCGCCGCTCTCGCTCGGATCGGCATGAGGCGCGCTGCCATCTGCGAGTCCATCGCTGGGAGGCGCTCCAGGGCGTCCGCTGGAAGCCCGTGCGAGCGGCAGGCTGCCGCTTGAAGGGCCGCCCGGCCGCCTCTGCCGCCTTCGGGCTGCTGCTCGGCCCGCGGCGCTGGTTGCTGACTGCTCCTGCGCGCGGGTGGCCCCTGGCGACCTGCGCTGGCGGGGGGCGTGGGTCGGGCCAGAGCGGCCCCGCCTGACGCTGCGGCCTCCTGGTCCTTTCGAGCGGGAGCGCTCCGCTGCCGCCAGTGCCTCCTGCCCAAGACGATGCACCGTGTTGAGGGGGGGGGCCTGGGAGAGTGGCCTCGTAGATGCTTGTAAAGAGCAGCTCGATCCGCGAGCGGCTCCGACGCGCCGCGGCAGAATTCGAGGCAGGTGCCCCCGGTCACGGACATCGCGCGCAGGGGGCTCATGGGGCGCGCCGGGTCGGGGGGGTCCAGGACGGGGTGATGAAAGGGCGTCGTGGAGGCTGGACATCGGCCCCGTAGGGCCGCCTGGACTGCGCAATCCCGGGCAATGCGTTTCGTCCGAAACGTTTTGTTGGAGCAGAAGATGCGCTCGTTGGTGGCCGTGAGAGCGTGGGGGATGGGGCGGCAGGAGTGCCGACGGTACTTGGAGGTGCGCTGATGTGCTAGCATGGCCTTGCGGGTCAATCTGGTTCTCCCGCAGACGACCCCCTCGGCATTCGTGATCTCCTCCACTGGCAACTGACCGTGCGCTGCTCCAATCTCCTGCGGATGAGTCCCTGGGTTCCGAATCCAGCCCGGGTGCAATCGCGACCTCCGAACTCGCAACTCAACGGCCGACGGAGACAGACCCGCGCGACGGAGAACGACCTCTCCCGAGAGAGCCCGATGTCGCATAACTGGTTGGCCCGTTTCGTTTTGAGCTGGAACGCCTCGCTCATCGACGACCTCTATCTCCTGGCGCGCGGTCCCTCCCGAGATCTTCCGAGCGAGGCCCGCGTGGACCTGGTTCAATCTGCGTTCCTGTGCCTCCGAAGTGATCATGGTGCTCATCCCCGACAAGATCGCCCCCTGGACCGCCGCCCCGAGCGCGATCCTCGTCAATCTCAGACCTTGTTCTTACTCCAGAATCGCCCCGTGAAGTAGCATCCCCGTCGGGTCGCCAGAATGCGCCGCTGAACCGTCCGTGCCCAAAGTGCTGTGGGTGCTCATGGCCTCGCTGTAACCTGAACCGCGCGTTCCCGGCAGTCGCCGCGACGTGAATCTCGCTGGTGCCATCTGCGTAGATGCGGCGAGACAAATCCACGGGGGTCTGTGAGATGGGCGCCCGGGCCGTGCGCGAGTCCTCGCTGGGCCGCAACGTGAAATCTGAAATCGACGGAGGCGTCGGAGGCGCCGAAGGATGAGAACTCCAACTGTCATAGTCCTGGGCGCGGGGTGGTGCCTCTATATCCCAAGTCTGCTGTCGAAGATCGTCGAGCCACTGCTGCGCGGGCCTCCAGCGCGTTCTGGCGAAGAAGACCGCCACGTGTCGCCGGTGAAGGCGCCGCGTGGGTTGTGCGTGGTCTGCTCCCCGTCGGCCGCTGTGTTCGCGGCGCTGGTGGAAATAGCGTTGATACGCGTCCTTGATCGACTCGGTCGCGGTCTCGCGCGGCGAGCTGAATGTGGAGCAGCCGAACGCATTGGCCATGTCCTCCTTCGATGTCACCGAGGAGATCCCTGACTCGCGAAGCCTCCAAAGCAACGCCTCCTGGCAAATCGTGGCGCCCTCGCGGCCGCGACCTCGCAAGTGGCCGTGCTCGCGGGGGGGGGGGGGGGGGGGGCGCTGTGTCGGGTGGCGCACGTCGCACTTGCGCCTTGGGCCGCCTCGCCCCCGCGCGGCGCAATCTATGGATGTTACGTCGGGCCGCGAAGCCCTCCTTGCTATTCTGTTTCTCTGAGCCCGTCGCCCGAGAATGATGCCGCGCGATGGGGATCCGTTGAACCCTTCGGATCTGATGAAACACCTGGGTCGATGCTTTGAAGCTGAACTCATTGCTGGCGGGCTCGTAGACCTCTGCCCCCAGCCCGCGGCGATCGCCTGCCAGTCGCACTCGATGGGCAATCTGGGGCGGGGGAACAGGGGCGTCATAGACGTCCCTCTCGTCGTCGTTGTCGTTGTGCTGGCGCCTCCGCTTGCGGTGCGAGCCGTCGAAGCGACGATTCGGGCCCAGGATCGTCATGGGGGCGTCTGTCGGCGCCGAATGCAGTGGCGCCGCCTTGCGTCTGGGCGCCTCCGCCGCGAGCTCCGTCGCCTCCCC